CTAAAGCACCCAGGTGTCATCACCTCATTTTCTGCAGTGCCCAATCACATCCATGTGCTCTGGAAATGCCTGCTGCAAGGCCAGAGGACCTCATTGTGGGGAGCCCAAAGAAGGTACTCAGTGACTAACATCAGTTTGCTGAGGCAAAGGTTCACAGCTTACAAACCTGGGAAGCTCAGACAGGAGAGAAACACACAATTCCTGACATATGCAAGGCCTGCACTGGGGTTTTCTGGCCTGTAACTTAAGACTCAAATTGCTCTTATGTAAGCCATATTGAGCACATTTTTTATAGCAAGCCTGTGCTGTTCTGGGAGGAGTAAGCCTTCTGAAGAACGGGATAACCAGGAAATGACTATAGCACACACAAGGAAGTGAAGCAGAAGAATCAGCAATCACTTGGGATCTTCATCACTAAAGATGACCAACTTCTGTCCCACACTCCCAAACTACTGGGGTGATTTTGCACTCTTCTAGCTCCTACTCCTCTCCCTGTGTTCAAGGTCCTTTCCATCTGACCTGGCTCAATTTGATGCTGCCACACTAAGTGGAGCTGCCACACGAATGGTATGTGTGTACTAACACATACATTTATATAAAAGATCCACAGCAGGTACCTTTGGATGCCTAAATTAAAGCTCTGCATAGGGAAGTACAGGAAGTTAACTCTGATGAGTTGATGGAATTACAGACTTTTCCAAAAGTTGAACAGGGTTAGCTTTTTAAATCTTTGCCTGACTTGTGGCAAAAGTAAGCCTCACTTAAGAACCATCTTTTCTTTGATGAAGATCATAAGTGATTAACCTACTCTATGAAAAGAGAACTCTAGGGCGTACTTAGGAATATGATCACCGTCAGTGTAGCATAAAGTGAGCAATACAGTGATATATCCCTCCTCCTCAGAGTCAGGGATCATCTGGAAACTGCTTCAAAAGCAAATACAAAAGATAAAACTTAAAGGAAGAATCAACATTAAATGTGAGATGCTTGGTTCAACTCAAGAAATACTCTGACAACAGCTTCAAGCATTCAAATGGAAAAATGCATCTCTACTTAATATTATTGATTTTTTGTCTGGAGAAAAACCCACAGAACATTGTGTCCAAGCTGTGGGAGATGCTAACTGAAGGCAGACAGGTGAATGAGGTCAAAGTCGGTACTTTGTTCGAACAACAAAACTCAAACAGAACAAAAAGCTGGTCAAAAAACCCCTTGTGGTGAAGTCAGTTTCACTCTCTGAAATATTTTAATTTTATTACATCTTCATGGTAATGAGGTAACCCTTAAAGTCTTTTGGCAAAATTCTAACTTTTTAGCCTAATGGGAATTTCTTTAGTGACTTCAACAATGTCAGGAACTTTGCCATGAAATTGCAATCAGAATTCAAAATGCTTCAGCGATCATTAACCATGTCATGCTTTGGTCTAAATATGGCAAACTGATTATCTTGATTACAATTTTACAGCACTTTTACAAAGGGTAGAAGTTATTCACAGCTGCCATCTAAGGAAGGCAGATGGCTGACAAAAGAGAGCAACAAACTCCTGAAAGTTTAAAGTAGAAGGATACCATGGATGTTAACCTTCTGACCTCCAAACCAGGAATGTATTCACTATATTTGCGTGCAGTGCCATATCTTTACTGAATTCAGCAACGAGCAAAAGAAGATCTTTGATCAGAACACAAAATTAATTTATGTACTAGAGGCTTCACAGAAAGCCACTGAACTTTTGGGAAGAATAGGAGAATAAATTGTCTTTGTAGAGTTAGTCATGAAACATGTGATTAGCATTTTCAGTTTGCAAAATAATCTCTACTCAAGCACAGCTCCCAAGCAAGACTATTTTTTTCATGTTGGGAATATTCAGGTCCCAAGAGTCTGGGAACATCCTTGAAGAGGATTATATCTGAAATTATGATTGTCCATTGGTCATTATTTTCACTTCAGTTAAGACAGAGATGTGAATGAAATACCATTATATGCAGCAATGAAGAGGAAATGAAAAGGGGGTCAGATTAGAAGCAAGGCCTGATCTCTTCCAAAGCACGGGACTGATGCAAGTGAGCACTCAATGACAGCACCTCTGGCAGTGCTGGCTGTTGAAGTCTCTGTTAACACCCAGCCAGAATCTTGAGCTTTGTGTACTGCCTAAGCCTGACATTTGGCCTTTCCTGACACAGAGCATAGCTGGGAAATGTCAACAGCCAGAACAAATATTACTGCATGTACCTGGCAAATCACTCATGAAACACCCTTATGACTCTGTAGAGAGCCTTGTAAGATGGTTTTGCTTTTCTGGAAATAACAGATGTACTGGCAATACACTAAAATTTTGGTCTACCCTACCCCCTCAGACTTTTGTGTGAACTGACATGCAGGGAATGTGACATTGCAATTGCTCCAGCCTCTTAGTCAACTTAGTTAATTTTTCTGTGAAAACAAGAGAAAAAAAGTGAAGGTCAGTTTGTAGGTTGGGCACCTACAAATTACTTCAGGAAGGAAGTTTTTTCTTTTTCCAAAGGTGTCCAGATCCTTGTCTCCCTTTCAGGATGGTCTCACATAATAAGTATGTAGAAGACCAGGACAGGTCTAAGTATATATATATATTTTCATCTGTATCTGCTTTTGCTAAGAAGAATATTTCCATGTTTTATTTTAAATAACATCATTTTCTAATGTAAAAGATTATGCAGACTAGTGCAATAAGGAGAAATCCTGAGTGAAGAAAGTAATCTTTAAGGTTACAGTACGGGCTTTCTTGATGTGTATGCACTGTGCCTAAAGTTTCTTCTGTCCTTTCTAGGAGCCTGATTTTCTGCAAAGTAATCTAAATATGCCACAGTCTGAAGATAAGATTGTGTGTTCAGTGTACAGGAATACGTTGCCATTTTTCCTTACCAACACCTCCCACTATTACTCGGCATGTAGAGGTATTTAATTTGTTGAATTCAACCTGTCATCTGTAACAAATATGTCCTAATCCAATTATATGCATCACAGTTCACTAAGAACCACGTAGGAGCCACCAAGCCTTCTTCTCTTTGATCATCCCTGATTTGCACAGTGGCCAGGGGCAAAACCCATGGAGTCTGCTGAGAATATATGTGGAGACAACCTGCAAGGCACAACACCTGAGTGCTACATATTTGATATAAATGACAGTTGTTTAAAAGGCACTTCAGCTTCCATTTTACAAAGTTCATTATCATAGCACATGTTTTAACATCAGTTCTTTCCCTCTATTTCTCTCTTTTCATTTATACTGTTGTGTTTTTTCTGATTTCATGGTGGTATTATTGTTGAATACATGGCTGCAACTGTGACTCGATAATTGTAACTATCTGGTTTCCCTCTTTGCCATTAATCTAGGTATTGACTTCTTTTCTTAAGAGTCATATATTGCTATGAGATCAGCAGGGGAAAAGCTCTTGGAAAAGGGGCAGAAAATACAGTTTCTATCCTATGGAAATTCAGGCATTTGAGAGCTTGTACAATTACAAACTGGATTAAAATATTACATTTTGAAAAATTTACTATTGACCAAAGATTCTGAAATATTTTGTTTTAGATATCTGGGAATTGTGCACCAAAACACTCTCTTTACATAACTGAAATGTTTCCTTTTAATGCTATTTAAACCTCTATATTATATAAATATAAAACTTTCAAGCACTTGTGTTTATGCAGTTACATATGAGCCAAAATAGTACAGCTTGAAGCTTTCAGGTAATTTCCCTTTAAAACATTTCAATACCGCAAAACATTGTTTCATCTACATTTTTGGTGAGGAAGCAAGTTCTTTTAGAGAGTTTATAAGACTTACATGTAGCTATTCCTTCAGGATTTCCTTTGGGAAACCTGCAATCAGCTATTTATTGTACAACGACCATTTTTTAGCTAGCATATGTGAGTCTATCAAGATCATCATTGGATTAATGTATTTTTGGTTTGCAAACAGAATCTTTCAAAGGGGCAATGGGATGCTGTGCAGACAGACTGCAGCTGCAGATTTGTTGGAGCTATCAGACAATATTGAATGTCTCCTGTCCAAATGCTGAGAGCTACGAGGCTCTATCGACTTCACTGCGGAAACGGATCACAATGAATGAGATTTAGGAAAGGATTTAAAAAAAGAGGACAACATTTCCTTATCAAAAAAGCAGTTCACAAACTTGAGCCTTCCATTCAGGTTTAAAATAAAACTGTTTTCCTGACTGAGCCATTAGACAACACATGGACTAAAGTAGATGTTAAAATATGTTAGTGTTTAAACTGTTGCTAGTTCACTTGGCCAGGAGGAAGATATCATATATAATTGGTTGTAATATTCATATCTTTATGACAAAGACAGCACAGTTTGGATGACAAACATAGCAGGAAACTTTTCCTTTTTTTTTCTCTTCCCCCCTTATGGAAATTGCTGTTTTGATGGCAATCATTAAGGAAATAATAGAAGCAATTTTTTTTTTTGGCAGCAGGTTTTTAAAAACACAACCTTAAGAGTCCTTTAATGTTATTGGACCAAATAATGATTCAGTGAATTAATTTAGTCCTCTTGCAAAAATTAACTGTTTCAACATTATACACAAATACAAACCACCTCACTCAGAACTGAAATACAGCCAGGCTTGCCCAGCTGCAAGGTGGCAGCCACAGAGACAAATGGTGTAACTTTGTAGCTTGACTAATCCTGGACAGGACACTAAGGAAAAGCATTTCTTTTGCAGTCGTTTCCATGGTATCTTTAACACCCACATTCAGCAAGTAGGACACTGGTTGTTAAAGTCTCATCCAAATAAATCCTACAAAGTAAATTGCATGGAACCCAATTTATCTACCTTGAATGAAGTTTGCTGGGATTTGAACCTGTGGCTTCAAGAACAGGTTCAAACTTGATGTGCAAATCATTCAGCCATTCTATCAGCTTTAAGACATACACAGTAAATTTGAGACCATACACATACATGTACTAAATCTACACACAAACAGATGTACCTACATTTGCTTGAGATTCATCATGCCCATTGATTTCTGCTAATTCCTTGGCACTTTTTAACTGCAAAGAGTGAAAAAAAAACAAAACAGAACAAAACAAGCACATTACTTCAGTATTTCACACAGTTATCTTTGATTTATTTAAAGGAGTGTTTTATAAAGCTTCCAATGAGAAAAACAGATGGAGCATATAATTCTAATGAGTTTTTGCTCAAACCATTTTGAAACCAACATACTTAAGGCTTGATAGGTTGGCAAAAAAGAAAAATAATAGAACTGGGTCATTATTTTTTAAATAATAAGATTAGAAAGTAGTTTCAAGGCATAAAAGGTACACAGATTTCTCTCTCAAGAATAATAAACAATTTAATTTCCCACTGTTGTTGCTATTAATTTAAACTTTACAATATCTGCAAGTTGCCACTAGCTAAATAGTGTTTTGCCAATGATTACTTTTGCATGATATATTTTGAGGTAAGATGCCAAAGTGCTACTATACATTGTCTTCCTGACAACGTACCTAAGTAACTGACATGGCTCCTGGGTATGATGGAAAAGGAGGGGAAGTGAAGAACAGCTCTTTTATTTAACCAGTGGCAGGAAGAACCGAGGGGACACTGCAAATATATGACCTGAACAAAAACTTTTTTTTCCCCTCCTGAATTAGCTTTTAGGGGAAAATCCAGGATTACATTGGGAATTGTAAAGATCACTCTCAGGAGATTTAAGGAAAGTCCTAGCTCACATCTTGAGCCACAGTGAAATATGCTGTCATTCATCCTGTGATTGAGCAAACAGAGCAAAGAGGAGACACCGCAGCTCTCCTGAGCCTGTAAGCCACAGAGGTTTGTACGCTTAAATGAAACTCATAGAATCATTTGCTCTTTAGGTTAAGCTCTGAAAAGACATGCTTTTATTGTAATTTAATTCACAATAGATATCGTGTGGAGGAGGGGGATGGAGGGAGAGGAGATGGATGGGGAACAATAAACACAACTTTCCTCTGAATTCCTTCTTTTTTGCCAAAGAAACTGGGTTTGATGTAACTGTTGATTCTACAGCTCTGGCTCTGATTTGCAACAGTTCTAAAATCCTAATGAAACAGAACACTAATATGTATTGATTAGTGTCTGACTCAGAAGTGTTGGTGGACTACAATCCTAGGGGTTTGGTTACCTCCACCATATTTTTGCCATGTGGCAAAAACAGCTGAACTGAGTGTGATTCAGCTCCCAGCTGTTCAGTTTCCAATCTGACACTTAGGGTAAGCAGGCCATGGTCTGTTTGTACCTTATGCAGGGCTGTGAACTGCACCAGTTCAGGAACTGCTGCTCAAGCCACTAAACCAGTCCTCATGGAGAGGGAAGAGGGCAACACTTCCTGATAAAGTAGTACAAAGGATATCTGGGGACTGCAAAATCATCAGGTCTCCTGGTTCAATTCACTGAAGCTCATCTTTCAAAAGCCTCAAGAAGTCTGAAATTTATACTGACAGCAGGGTGGTGCATTTCCAATGAATGCTACATGTTTTCCCTACTCTGATAAAATAACCACCCTGTGAAATCACTCCACTGTGAGGATAGCTGGTAGGAATGAGCTGAGATGGCTGCTTCCAGACAAGCACCAGAATGAAGTATTTATGGACCGCAGTTTAACCGGAAGAGCTGTTTCCTGATTATGCCAATTCTTCATTATAGAAATTCACACATTCTAAGCAGTCCTGTTGGGTTCAGCTGAGTTACTCATCTGAACATGAGGTCAGGAGAGCATGCTTAGTTTTGTAAAACTGTTCTGCATGCTGATGAAAGTGTCCTGAGTGCTCAAGGAATGCAGTTCAGTCCTTACACTTTGCCTTTCCCTGTCTAGGTTTATAAAATGCCATCACCCCTTGGTGACTGTGGCTACCTGGCAAAGTGCTCTTCTGGTGACATGCCACATCCCCATCAGCCCCACGTGGGTTTGATGGGAGACTGGGCTCAGCCTGCAGCCCACTTTTTTCATGCAGGCTTTTGCCCTGCCAAGGCTTCCCTCCATTATCACCCTGGCACTAATTCTTCAGTTGATATAATGCAGAGAGGATGCCTGAGCCTCTCCATCTCTTTTATTGCACACTTCTATATGCTCTGAAAAGGATGCCAGAGCTTAGGCAAGAAGCTGCTTGCATCCCTGCCAAAACTAGGACCTCTGTAGTGGAGATAATGGTGGAAAACTTAAGGGTAGAAAGTGTGCAGCTGCACTCCCATCGGTTAAAGGGGTGAAGTCCCTTTTTGTACAATATATTTTTTTCTAAATTATTATTTAAATTATATTCTTCTCTCACATGTTAAATAGAGAAATGCTGGAATAGGAAGCTTAGAAAAATGTACAATATTGGAAAAACAGGACTTGCCTTGCCCCCTACACTGACTCCAGGGTAAATCAGGGGCAAGTGCGATGTTAGCAGTGGACAGTGTGCTGAGGAAACACACAGAGCTAGTGCCAGCAACAACCAGGAGCCTGCCTGGAAGGAGAAGGGGTGAGGAATCAGAAGTCTCTGATAATCTAATGCTGTGGTGGGGTAGACCTGACTCAAACCAGAGGGCATGAATCCCTCAGACAACCAGAGCTGAAGGGCACATGCCAGATGTGATTCAGAAGCCTTCTGACTACAGCAATGCAATATGGTGCACCAGCAAGTGGGACTTCTCCCAGCAGGACATCCCAGCCTGGATGTGGCTGGGAGCACGGAGCAGCCATGCTTGGATGGAGCTGCACCCCCCCTGTACACATGCCCTGAGTGAGGCAGGGCAGGATCCCTGTGCCAACTTGGGATGAAAAGGCAATTTTTAGCAAACTTATCACAAAACCAAGCCATAAAGTCAAGGCAGGAGTTCTGTGCTATTTATTTTTGAAAGAAATGCTCTATTTACTTGGCTTGGCTGCATGATTTTCAATACCCATTGTGGATAAAACACACAGATAAGCTTGGTGCTTGTAAAGGAAAGCTGTGAGTCTTGGCAAGTGGGGGTCATTACTGCAAAGGCTTCTGCTGTTCTGGAAACTTTTGGAACTCGTTCAGGGTTCTTGGAGGAGCACACTGGCTGCCTAGCACTCTTCAGGAATTCTGGCTACTTACAGTCTTGGCCTCAGGCGCATTTCAGAGCTAATTCTCAAGAGAAATGCAGATCTAGCCTGCCTTTCTTCCAGCTACTGTTTTGCCTGTCTGCCTAGCATGAGTGCACATTTGATTCGCAATTAGCAGCAGTCTGCAGAGATTCAGCAGTCTGCCCTGGTGGTCCCTACTGGGCCTCACATTGCAAGATCTTCCTATGTGTGTTTTTGCAGCATATAATTGCTACAAAGACATAAAATAACTTCGTGCAATTTTTGTTTTTCTTTTTTTTTTTTTTAAAGCACTTTAAAATGCTATACCTTGAAAGTCATGTGAAAATGGAAATGAGATCCAATTAACTCAAGAGACCTGGTGGAATCTGTGTTTATAAAGATTCTGTCATTACCAAATCCATTCTTCCTCATGGCATTTTCTGTATTACAGTCTTGCCTCACCTTTCATTTAGGTTATCTCTGTGACCATAACTACAAAGAACATAAAAGCTTCCAGAATCTAAATTATTACTTTGTAGAATACATTTGTCATCAGATATGTTCAAAAATAAATGTTAAATGTGGAACAATGTCCTAGCTTTCATAATGAACATTAAAAAATCAGAAATAAACATAATTTACTTTTCCTAATGTGTACATCAAATGTATACATCAGTCTGCAGACATATTCCGACATACATGAAAAATCTTGAACATTAGAATCGTCAGCATTTTGAATCTCTGCCACTTAAGCAATTCAGATTCCCCCAGACCTTAAACTGCAAATACTTAACCAAGCCATCAAATATTTTAGCTGAAAGTTTATATAGAAAGGGTTAAAAAAAGGTCTGAAAACAGAGACTGTGCCTCTGCTGCACAGGTGGGGATTTTCAATTTCAGTGTGTCCAAGCCACATGTTTTCTACAGAAAACACATAATTGTGCACACTGTGCTTGCACAAAAGGACTGTTTCTTCTCTAGATTTACAGGTTTAGGGCCAGCCTTGCTTTTTGCTGTGTAGCTATCCATCTTACCATCCTTATAAAACAATACTGTCAAATATACTTCTCTGCATCATAGTACACCTTAGTATCAAAGAAGGTGGGATAATCAGATTTACAGAGTTTTGATTCTCACTGGTTAAATAAGTGCATTGATAACTACTTTTTTAAGGCCATTATGATAATGCTACTGTAAGTTTTTTATATACTCATACTTGTATGAACTACACAGGAGATGCCAAAATGTTTTTTTCAATAATATTCTTGAAAGGAAGAGCTGTTTTGGCTCAGCTATATTTAACTCCCCCAACATTTTTTTAAATTCAGAGCAAAACCACTTATCACTGATATCTATGTAGAATACATAAGAGGAAATACTACTCAAGACATGAAATCCAATATTGGATAGTATTAAGTAAGGGTTCATTTTCACTCTATTATCTGAAACTCTGTTAGCCTAATCAGAGCAGACAGACAGGACATATAAGGTTAGGTCTTGCTCACAACATATTCTGTGGTCAGACACCTACAGATTTTGGAGATGAAGCCATGAGACTTTCAGAGCTAATGGTTTTGCCTTCCTTCCCCTTAGCATGCCTAAGCCAGCACCTTTCTCCTGCCAAAATCACTCACCTGTTCCTGCAGGACTTTAAGCATTGCTTGTGTATGCGTTTGCTCTTCCTTTGCTTGCTCCAGTTCAGACTTTTTGTTATTTAATTCTTCCTGTATGCTCAGCAATTGCTGCACAAACAAAAGAAGTTTCTGGTTAGCCTCGTCTGGATCCAAAGCAGTTTAAAATCCCCAGTTTGACAAATCCTCATTTCAAACAATGTTTTGCAGTCTGCTCCTACATTTATTATTGTTGCATAATCTGCTGTGTCTAAATGGACCAGAGGTAAATTGTTTTCATCTGCATCTCCTTCTGCGGCAGTGCACCACGAGTAATGCATCTGTTAATGTGCATTAAGCTATTTGTTACATTAAAGCAGAAACTCCTGGTACAGTATGTCACCCACAGAGTGACTGTCACATTCGTCTGAACCAAAATCTTATTTGTAGAAGTATATGTGCTGGTTTTAATAAGACTGGGGTAAACACTATGGTACATAAATAATTTAAAAGCACAGCCCTTTAATATAATTAGTCATTGGCCCACAGCCATTTTCATTCTATGCAAAGCAATATTCTGGAAAGCTTTCAGACTGACTTGCCAAGAAGACAAAAGCTTTCCCTTTTCTTATTTTTTTTTTTGTCTTGTGCTACAATATTTATTAGATCAGGAAGACTGATGCCCTATAATCAATATATCAGCCAGGGAGACTGCTGATCTACTGTCAAAACAAAAAGCTATGACCAAAATCTATTTTTATGAAGAGAATTCTGAGATGAAGGAGCACATTTGAAAGCCCACGTGCCCTTGTCTCAGCTAGCTTTAGATTCTGCATAGATTTATTGTGACTGTCAGGAACAGGTCAGTAGATTTAATTCTGAAATACTTATATGTTTTTGCATTGATTTTTGAAGAATGCTAGACAATGATGAAGAGCAAGAGCAGACAAACAGGTTAAGAAAAGAGTTTATGTGTTTTCTCTCAGTGAATAAGAAAGGAAACTATGATTTTCTGGGGCAACATATTGCTTGTTAGCACACTCCATTTAAAGGAGTAATTGAACTACTAATTGCTTTACTAACATGCATTACTGATTTAACCATGTACCTACATCTAAAGCTTAGTTTATGGTTGTGCTTAGGGCTGGTGGCTGACTCAAACTGATGATGCAGGTGTTCAGCCTCCTGGTAAGTTACAGACAGCAAACCTAGAAAAAAAGTCTTGGCCTTGTTCCACTGCACTGGAAGTCCCAGGCATCAAAGGACATGGTGTCAGCATTGTTTTCAGAGTGACTTGGAAACAGATGACATTTCAGGGACTGGTGGAGTTATTGGTAGTGTGTTTCTGTTGTAAGTGAACATCAGTATGATGGATTAATTCAGCCACTGAAGTAAAAATACACGTGGGTATATGTCTGATTATATCTCGCACACTCTACAGTCCAGCGGAGTTGGTTAGCTTTTTGATGGATCATGCCGCCTGGACTGCTCCCTGGGAGCCTTCAAGAGACATTCTGGTATGTGTTTTCACTCTATCACAGCACAAGACCATTTTGAATCTCAAGATATTTCCATGAAATAAATAGGTCTCTTCCACTGAGGCTCATACCCAACCAGCTTTTGTGTGGGAAACTCTGCTTTGGCATTTCTCCAACAGGGATGTGTTCACCTTGCCTGTTGGGTACTACTTCCCACATTTCCAGAAGATAAACTGGATTTGTGTGCACTGCCATAGGTCACATGCTGATACCCATGCAGAAGGGACCATCTAGTCACCCCATGTAAACTCATAACATACCTGTAAGGGTCACCTAGGATAGCTCTAGCTGACGCCTGCAATTTAGAGAGAATGGACTCTAGTCCTCAGGAGAGAAGCAGAGAACAAGAGACCAGAAAGATGCCATGAGCCCTCTCAATGGTCACTAGCTGAAGCACTGTGATAAGCAGACTGTCACCTACCTAATAGCAGCTGGTGAGATTTCCTCTCCTTTGCAGCTGCAACCTGTTTGACCTCACATACCTGAACATATCATGAGAAAGGAGTCTTTGCCCTTATTTCAGAATCTTCTCTGAGCAGTTATGTCTCACCAGTGTGGCCAGACTCCATCTTGGTTGAGAGAATTTTACTCCAGCTTCTGGGAAAAGCCCTACAGGCCATCCTTTTTAACAACATAAAATCACATCTGGAAGATCCCAAGTGAGTTTTCATTTCATCCTGCTCCTGAATAATCTTTCACTAGTGAACGACTGTTACAAAGAGGAAACCAAGATTGACTCTTGGGTTGAACTCGTTTACACAACTGAACTTAAACCTCCTTTTCTATCCCACCTAACCCCTCTCCATGCTTCTTCCATGGACACGTTTCACTTATTGCGGATCAGCTCACAAACTTCCACTGTTTTGTTTTCACATCTCCCGCTGTCATCTCCCACTGTGATTTAGTCTAATTATATATCTCTTCTTTTGACCCTGACTTTTCCTCTTTTCCTGTTTTCTGTTTAAGGCAATTTTTCCAAAACTGTCTGAGCATGGGAGGAATTGGTGTGGAAGACACTGAGGGCATGAGAGAGAGAGAGAGAGATAGAGAGAGGGAGATGTGATGTTCGGCATCTTTGTACTTGGCTCTGGACCAGTGAGGAACAGGAATCCCAGGAAAATATCCAACATTCTCAGTTTCCCTGGGGTAAAAGAGCGTGCATTCTATTTGGAGTATGAACTACAAAGCGCTTGATATGAGATAAAACCTTCTAGCAATCTTAGTGGTTAAAATGTCAACTGTTGAAGGTTTACTGTGTGTGCATAGGCTCCAAAGACAGTAATTGTGTCCTATTTTCACAGGGGTGGAAAGCAGAGTGACTAAGATATCCTATTCCCATTCATACATAAGGTTTTTCATTCACAGGACTGGGACCTTCCCATTCAACCTCCAGAGATGTCAAAATTTTTTAAAATTTGGAACCATCCCTTGGGGGTTTAACTTTCTTTTTCTCTCCCTCATATTTATCTCTAAAAGCTGCAGAATCTGCTAATTTTGCATGGGTCAGGTTTGCATATTTCTTTTTCCTGAGTGGTTGATGCTGCAACCAAGAAGTTGTAACAAGGACTTTTACCTGCCAAACAGTATATTTTTCTCCTTTAGTCTCATTTTGGAAAATAAAGAAATAAATGTGACTGAAAAAAATATCAGCCTAAGACAGATGAACAGCTGGAAAAATTTCACCACAAACACGTGATGTTTGGCAAAGTTAGAAGCAAATGGGGAAAGGATCTTACACTGGCAGAAATGAGACAAGTTTCATAACAGGGACTGCTGACACGCCTGCTTATAAACTGACAGGTTTTCCATAAAGATTATAATGAATGATGCCAACATGTAGGTATTAATTATTCAGAATTACTTTGTTTTTCATACATAAATCTACTTATTAAAAATTGATCCTATAGATATTTCTTTTGCCCTTCAAATTTTTTGCAACTATATACCACAATCAATCAAAATAAAAAAATATCCTTGGTTTCAATAATTATGCTGTCTGATACTGTTCCACCTTCTTTGCCATCTCACACAGCCTTTCTGCTAGAGTTTCCCTGTGTAGGAAACCCACCTACTACACTGATGGTCACCACAGCTATACAAGTGTCTGTTCTTTCAATCTTGTCTCACATCTCTGGCCATTCCCTTGAAGCCCTGATGCTCCTAGCTTTGTGACACAGCATTCAGACAGAGGTTACCCAGTTTTATCAGGCAAAGAACTGATTTCATGGCTATACAGCCAGGAAATAACTGGCTCATATTTCTGTTCTATTCCATGTCCCCAGTGTGCAATTCTTTGGGTCTGCATGTTATGGACGTGTCTTTTCCCTGAACCAAAATGCAAGTGTCAGGAAGCAGAAAAGCACATCACAGAGCTCATCAGAGCTCTGATGATCCTGAAGAGAGACACCTGCAGAGCTCCACCAGTAGCAGCCTGGAAGCTCAGCTGGTCTACGTGCAACCAAAAGCGTTTGTCTCCATGGCTGCCAGCTTGACCCAAGGAGATGGAGCTGTGTAGTGCAGTAGGACCAGATCAGACTGGCAGACATCACTAATATCCTCTTACTGGTATTTCCAGAGAGGAGATGGGAAAGCCAGAAAGAATTAACATCCTGGTTGCCTGTCCAGAGATCAATCAATGCATTTTAGACCCCCTCAAAAAACACAAGACATTGCTTCCAGTGGCAATTCTGGAACTGGTCTGCATAGAAATGGTAGATATCACTATTCTTTCTTTAGTGAGGACCAAATCCTCCCTGTACATAATAAGCAGGTAGCTAATTTCAAGATGTGAGGTGAAAGAGGGTGTGTGTTTTATTTTGATTTTTTTCCCCACATTCCCATTCCAATGCTGAATCTCTGCCAGAGACAGTTCAGTACCACCCATATTGCATAGATCTCAAAAGCACAGACAGAAAATTACCATCTTAAACCAATCTTCACAGCTTCTGAAACATTAAATATAGATAACATTATTGAAGCCAGCTGAATTACTCAGGCTGTGTACAATGCAGTGCCAGTGTGGCCAAGAATGCTAACAACTGAGCAGCACACACTGCCTCAGAATATATGAGGAGTCCTAAAGGGAAAGTAATAGCTTGCTGCTGTGTATCACTGTGCAGCCATGAAATACTCCTTCTCTTTCCTCTCCTTCTCCTTGCCCACAGTTCTTCATTGCTCCCCAAAAGGTAGTGTGGATTTGAATATAAGATATGGACATACCTAGAAGTGTGGCTGCATCCCAAGCCTAGTTGGACAGACAAGGATCCCATAAGGAAAGCATGATTTCCAGCATGAAGCCAACAACTTTTCATGCAAAGAAAAAGGAGGCAGATCAGAAGCAACCGCAGGGCCTGAGGCTGTACTTAGGATGCTGTAAGGCTGACAGAATAATGAAAAAGGAAAACCAGCATTTGACACAAGTTTAGCAGTTATACTGCTGAATGGTCCTGGCCCTGATATTTTGTTTATGATCTTCTCTACAGCTGCTTGAAATGAAGTATGAAAAGGTTACAAAGATCTTAAAGAAAGGGCAGTAAGGAGGAAGAGACAAAAGAACACCTTTGGGGTGGGAGCGCTGATGTCGATCACAGGTTG